TAGCTACGGATTAACGTAATCGATTTATCCGTTTGCGTACCTCTTCCCGGCGCGGTGTTTCAGAGATTTCACGCGACGAATCGCGGGCCACAGATTTTCCCACAACGATCATACTTTCGACGGCTATCTATGGATATAGAGATCGTTCATCGAAGTATAAGTCAACCGGTTTTGTGGATTCCGCGGTTAGACGCGATTGTATATATATATATATATTGTATTTGTAGTCGGAAAGGGGTAGTTGAATTTATGGGGATGGAACATATTTTGGAGGATCGAAGTCTGACCTAGTCGAGATTAGCGTTGTATAATGCCCGAGTCTTGGAAGTTTCAAGGTTCAAAGATCGAGGAGTTGAAAGCTGGGCATCGTGCAAAGGTTAGTTAATTTATCTGCTTTAACCCTCGAATCCTTGAGTTTTCAAACTTCATGGATCTTAAGCGTTTAAGAGTCGAAAGCTTCGAAGACTCGAGTTTATGCAGTATTAATTTCAATTTCGACGCTAGTTTAAGTTTCAAATTAAGGATTCGATTGCACGATTTATGATTCATGGATAGAGACAATTTTTTGGAAATCGTTTTACAATAAAATCTTGAATAGATATCAATGATCGTAGGTATTATTTCTTTTAAGAGATTCTTTTTATGATTGTGGTAATATACAAACACGACCTTTTTTCTTTTTTTTTTTTTTCGTTAAATTATGTAAATAGGAAAAAGAGGGCAAAATTCTTTTGACTGTGAACAATCTGGACAGAAGGATTTGTAGAATTTTCTCTAAAGAATTATGGTGAATACCTTCTGCCGAGCCGTGGATGTGGGTCGGATCTGAAGGGTCGCAGTCGAGGAAGTAACCCAGATTTCAACCTTATGGTCGTTACTTTTGGGATTCAACGTTATAATTAAATCTGGCGTTTTATGAAGTAATTTTAACCCTTCGTCTTCCCTCCCAGGTCCTTGCTGGAACGAGGGAAATTTTACTTTTGAATTTGATATCTCGATTATCTCGATTTTAATTATCATTGAAATAAATTTTTAACTATTTTCTACGAACTATACGCAAGTTTAATAATTTTTTTATCTTCGTTCCTTTCATACAGAAACCGACATATAGATTTGATACGACTCTCCATTTCTTTATTCAGAAATCTTCTTATATTCTGAAAATCAAGAATAAATATATGATAAAGCGGAGGAATCGTGGAAAATTCTTGAAATTATTACCACCTTATATAAATATCGCGACTCAACTTGTTGGGTGGGCCAGGATCAAATGCCATCAAAATTAGATTCTGTAGCCATCAGCCTCGAGTCGTTGCGTTACGAAAACAGGACGCAAGCGGAATATATAGCTAAACTGATTCCTCAGCGAGTTCATGCAAAACGGTGGGATCTGATGCAATTTAGAGTAGCTCGCGACTCGAAACTCGTGGGCAAATGTTTCGGAATAATCTGTGCACTTCTGGAATACAACGTATCGTGATGCAACTTACACGTATGGTTT